GCTTCTGGAGAACAGAGAGTCAGTTTCTTTAAGAATGTGGCCCCTGATAGATAGATCACACTCCAGTAGATGGCCCCACACTCAGAGTTAGGGCAGCACTGATTGGAATCAGTGGATTGTTACAAAAAAGAGGACATAGTTGGGAGGCAGAGTTTAGGGGTGAATCTTGGAGAAGTAAGGTGGAGGAGGTCAAATATGATCAAAATATTAGTGTATGAAATTGTCAAAAATAGTGAAAAATGTTATTTTTAAAATGAACAAAAATAAGATCAGATCAAAGTAGCAACCATTTAGACATCTTTTCACAAGATGCTGGCAATGTAAACACACTCAGGGCTGAACTGTGGGTGTAGACTACTAGAAAAGGCCCATGAACAAACAACCAGCAGTTCTACTTTTAATTTCTTAGCTGGTTCAAGAAGTTTGTCATTATCAGCCCAGCAGAGCAGTTTCTGTCATCAGCACTCAACAGGTCACATGTAAAGGTCATGGCGCCAACACTGCCATCTGCTGATCAGAAGCTGTGGTTATTAGCCTCTTGATGGCAATTCAGTCCCATTCAGGTCAACAAGCTTTTATATAGAATGTCAGTGTACATCATGTAGGTCCTGGGCCAGCTCTTTTTTTTTTTTTTTCTTCAGGTAGTTGGGATTTAATTTAAGAATCATTTGAAATGAACTACTGTAACAGTGATGAATTTTTAGTTCCTTGGAACCTTGGTTCTCTGAAATAAGAACTTGGAAGCAGCATAAACAATATGCTGAAATGGCAGGGAGCAACAATGATCAATTGTTGGCACTAGGCATTCTCTGAAATGAGGAGATGTGCCCGTCTGCCAGTGCTAGCAGTCTCAGATATCTGAGGGCAGAAAAGGAGAAAATCTCCTTTATCTTCCTGGGGAGAGTTTCATAGATGGCAGTTGTCTTAGTTAGGCTTTCTGTTGCTGTGAAGAGACACCATGACCATAGCAACTCTTTTTTTGCAGATGTTTTTTAATTTGAATTAGAAACAAGATTGTTTTACATGACAATCCCAGTTCCCTCTCTCTCCCCTCCTCCCCTACCAACCCCCTTCCCAACTAAAACCCTACCTATCACATATCCTTTCTGCTTCCCCTGGATGGTGAGGCCTTCCATAGGGTGTCATCAGAGTCTATTGTATCCTTTGGGATAGGGCCTAGGCCCACCCCTGTGTGTCTTGGCTCAGGGAGTATTCCTCTATATGGAATGGTCTCCCAAAGTCCACACCAGTGCTAGGGATACGTACTGAACAACTACAGGAGGTCCTGTAGATTTTCGAGGTTTCCTCACTGAAACCCATGTTCCTGAGGTCTGGATCAGTCCCATGTTGGTATCCCAGGTTATCAGTCTAGGGAGCAAGAGTTCCCCGATGTTCAGGTCAGCTGTTTCTGTGGTTTTCACCAGCCTGGTCTGGACCCCTTTGCTCTTCACTCATTCTTCTCTGCATCTGTATTCCTGTTCAGTTTAGTGATTAGTTGTCGGTGTCTGCTTCTACTTCCACCAGCTGCTGGATGAGGGCTATCGGGTGGCATATAAGTCAGTCATCAATCTCATTATCAGGGGAGGGCATTTAAGGTAGTCTCTCCTCTGTTGCTTAGATTGTTAGTTGGTGTCATCTTTGTAGATCTCCAGACATTTCCCTAGTGCCTGATTTCTCTGTAAACCTAAAATGTCTCCCTCTATTATGGTATCTCCATTCTTGTTATCTTCTATTTTTCCCCTGACTCAACCTTTCTGCTTCCTCATGTCCTCTGCATCCCTTCTTTTCTCCCCTTCTCATTCTCCTAGCTCCCCCCCCCTCT